TATCTGAGAACTGAGTCCAAGTGATTGAAGCTGCCTCAGCCAAACTATCCAACTCGTATACGCGCCGCCACTAATAAACTGCTCCTCTAAGCTGGAACGTAGTGAAAGAAACCCCACTAGTCTCCGCAACATCCATAGTACGGAGGATATGGTGGCACTCCTCAAGAAAACCCTTGGCATCCTCTGATGCCAAGACACTGAAAGTAGGAGGGTGGTACTTCTTGTACCTCTCGAGCCTGAGCTGCTCCGCTTCAGAAGCTGCTGCCCTAATCTTAGGCTGATTTGGAGCTACCAGCTGCATCAGTATGATCTCTGGATCCTGGTCTACTTGAACCCACAGTTCTGGGGTACCGGCGACAGGAGTCTGTGCTACTCCCCAGCCTAAGATGTGGCAGGTGCAAGCGGTATCAATCTTGCTTGAGCCAAGGTGTTGAACATGCTAAGAAACTGGGTTAGAGTCTTCTGGAGGGCTGGTGCAGTGACAGGCGTCTCAGGTGCTTATCCTCCAACTGGAGCTACTTGTGGCTCCTCTGTAGTCACTCGTGCGGGTGCTCTAGCTGCACCACGTGGATGTCTTCGACCTCTACCTCGGCCCCGGCCTCTCGTGGCTTTAGTAGGGGGCGCGGGTATCTGGTAATCTAATCCAGTTGTACGTGTCCTCACCATCTATGAGAAAATAGAAAGACAGAAATTTAGAACCCGAAATCAAAATCTCGCACGATAAGGAATCAAAGAAATGAAGCTTTTCCTAACAGTTCCATAGCCTCCTGAAGATAAGTACAGACGTCTCTGTACCGATCCGCGAGACTTTACTAAACCTGATTGTGACTCATAACGCCTATGAACCTAGAGCTCTAATACTAACTTGTCACGACCCCAATTCACCTTCCGTAGGATGTCGTGATGGCACCTAGTCTTTAAGACTAGGTAAGCCTACAAAAATTACGGAATAACATAATATAAAACTGAAGCCCAATTCTCAACACATGAAATAAATATAAAACTGCAAATCAATAATTACAACTCCCAAAACCCGGTGGAAATAAGTCACAAGCTTCTGAGAGAAAGTACTAAGTGTCTCTATACATTAGAGTCTTAAAAGAATAAGGAAAATAACATAGTAAGGACAGAGGGGTGACTCTGAGATCTACAGATGCTGACAGATATACCTTGAAGTCTCCACGTGCGGTCCAACTCACTGGTATCTGGTCTGGTGGAAAGAACCTAGATCTGCACAAAAAGATATGTAGAAGTATAGTATAAGTACACTACAACGATACCCAATAAGTGCTAAGCCTAACCTCGGTAGAGTAGTGACGAGGTCAGGGTCATACTGGTTTAAAAGAAAAGTAAAGAAGAAGATATAATAATATTTTGAAATGACTGAGAATTTAAGCAACGAGAAGTTTCAAAAAATAGCAGCACAACAAATACAGGTAAACAACAGGGGCGCTCCCGAGGTACCGCCTCGTAGTCCCAAATGTAAATATGCACGATAGGGGGGGATCTCCCGAGATACCGCCTCGTAGTCCCAAAGTAAATATACAAGACATGGGGGAATCTCCCGAGTAAATGCCTCGTAGTCCCAAAGTAAATATACAAGACATGGGGGAATCTCCCGAGTAAATGCCTCGTAGTCCCAAAGTAAATATGCAAGACAGGGGGATCCCCCGAGTAAACGTCTCGTAGTCCCAAAGTAAATATGCAAGATAGGGGGATCTCCTGAGGTGCCACCTCGAAGTCCCAAAGTAAATATGCAGCAGATAACCGAACCGAAGGAACAACAAATTTACAGCAAGAAATCTTATAGTTAACGATTTAATTCAAATCAAGGGAAACAGGTAACTAAGAGTTATGGCATGTAGACATGCGATACTAAACTAATCATGATCACTACATATGCTAAGGTAACTCAGTTAAGGAATTAAAAGAATACAACTCAGCAAGAACTGAAATTTTCACAATTAGCCTGTGTACACACTCGTCACTTTGTGTACACGGCACTCACATATCACAAATTGTTACAATAGTACCAAATCTTAAGGGGATTTCCCCCACACAAGGTTAGACAAGTCACTTACCTCAAATCTCGCTCAATCAATCGATAAGAATGCCTTTCCCTCGATTTTTCAACTCTGAATGGCCCAAATCTAGCCAAAAGCAATTACATATCATGAATACAACTACAAGAAACTAATTTAAACCATAAATCTACGACTTTAGCAGAGAATCAAAAAATCATCCCACAAAGTCGACACGGACCCACGTCTCGGAATCGGGTAAAAGTCACAAAATACAAACACACATTCGATATCGGGCCCACATCTCGAAATCGGGTAAAAGTCACAAAATGCGAACACTTATTCTATATCGAGTTCACCCATACCAAAATTTCCAAAATCCGACACCAAGTCGCCACTCAAATCCCAAATTTAAACTCTCTAAATCCCTAGCCTCAAACTCCCAAATTCCACCTTAAACACACACAATCTAGGTGAAAAAATCAATGGGGAACCAAGGTTATTAATCAAAAATAAGTACAAGAGACTTACCTCAAGAAATACCTCAAATATTCTCTCAAAAATTGCCAAACCCGAGCTCAAAATGTGTAACAATGATAAAAAATCCCGAACCCTTGAATTAATAGAGTCTACCTAGTCTTTTCACTTTTGCAGATCACTTGACCACATTTGCAGTCCCACTTTTATGGAAAATTCATCGCTTCTATGGTTTTGCCCAGGCTGCCTTGCCCCCGCTTCTGCGGACTCACTTCTACGAGAAGTAGTCCGCTTCTGCGGCTCCAGTGCACCTGCAACCTCCTTGTCCGCATTTGCGGTCTCGCAAATGCGGAATTTTTCTCGCATCTGCGACCTCTGCCCACACTGCTCCAGCCCGCTTCTCTTATCAACGTGCTGCTTCTGCAGGTTTTCACCTGTGGTAAATCATGCGCATGTGCGATTACATCAGAGCTGGTGCCTTCAGCCATTCTCATAAGTCCAAATTTGATCTGTTAACCGTCCGAAATTTAACCCAAAAATCGTCCATGGGGTCCATGTCTCGGAACCCAACAAAAGTTACAAAATATGAATGCCTATTCCGATACGAGTTCAACCATACCAAGTTCATTCAATTCCGATAACAACTCGACCTCCAAATCTCAAATAGAATCAATAGGGTTTTCCCAATTTTTCCGAACTTAATTCACCGATTAAATATTAAAAATAACTATGGATTCGGGTAATTTAACCAATATTGAGTCAAGAACACTTACCCCATTATTTTCTCTTAAAATCTCCCAAAACTTGCCTCATCCTGAGCTCCAATCCGTCAAAAATAGAAAATGGGACGAAGTCCCATTTTCTAAACTTACACTCACTGCCCAGGCTTTTCTTCTTCGCGTTTTCGTGACCAGTTTCGTGTTCGCGAAGGCCTGACCATGCACAATATCGCGTTCGAGCTCTCGCATTCGCGGTAGCCAACTGCCCTTCTTCTTCGCGTTCGCAGTCCATGCTTCGCGTTCGCGAAGGATTAATGGCTCAAGGTCCCGACTCCCCTTCCTTCTTCGCGTTCGCGACCACTGCGTCGTGTTCGCATAAGCTTGACCAGACCTTGCCTCGCGTTCGCGAAGGTCAAATCCAGCTCCCCCAAAATTTCTTCTTCGCGAACGTGAGACTTTCTTCGCGTTCGCGAAAAAGGAAACCAGACACTAGAATCTGCAGTTCCAAAACAGCTACAAATGATCCGAAACTACCCCGAAACACACCCGAGGCCCCCGTGACCTTAACCAATCATACCAACCAGTCCCATAACACATTACGAACTTACCCGAGGTCTCAAATTGCATTGAACAATATCAAAATGACGAATCACACTTCAAATAAAAAATCCATAAACTTTGAACTTTCAAATTCTATAACTTGTGCCGAAACACATCAAATCAATCCGGAATGACTTCAAATTTTGCACACAAGTAATAAATGACATAACAGACCTATTCAAATTTTCAGAATTGGATTCTGACCTTGATATCAAAAAGTCAACCCCCCGGTCAAACTTTCCAAAAATTTAATTTTCGACATTTCAAGCTTAATTCCACTACGGACCTCCAAATAATTTTTCGAACACGCTCCTAAATCCAAATCACCATACAGAGCTATTGACATCATCAAAATTTCATTCCGGTGTCGTTTGCTCAGAAGTCAACTTTCTGGTAAACTCTTTCCATTTAAGCTTCAAATTAAGGATTGTTCTTTTAATTTAATTCCGAATCTTTAGTAAATCAAACTCGACCACACCCGCGGGGTCATAATACATATGGCGAAACTTCTCGAGACCTTAAGTCACTAAACGGAGCGTAAATTCTTAAAACGACAAGTCGGGTCGTTACACTGTGATTCCAACCACGGTTCGTTTCAGATTTTCACTTCCGCGTCATGAAGAACAAGTAAGTTCTCGTTTTACGATTTACGCGCTAAATTATTGTGTATAGTTTATCGCTTGCCTTCATTTTCTTTATCATATGCGAGATGGAAAATGTCATACATTCTAAATGTATAGTCGTCTTTCCTTTTCATTTTATATAATTCTCTTTCCTTTTTAGTCTATTTAACAATCTTTTATATTTAAAATAATTTAACTTTCCATTTAAACTTTATGACTTGATTTTATAGTCAAAAATATATTACTTATGATATTTTAAGCCATAAGTTTCAAAAAAAAAAATCCTTAACTGCCATTCCAATATATAAAATGAATTGGAGGGAGTAACATAAGTTTATATGTGTAAAATGAAGAAAACTGAAAAAGAAAAAAAAATTATGCTTTTACTATGACTTAGTAGCATATCTGTAGTTCAAAACTCAAGGGATTATCTCTGTCAAAATGTAATATGACTAGGATCCACTCTTATATATTATTACTTGGGATGTTGTATGGTTAGGATTCTGCATTATATCCGCCGCAATCAAGTTAACGTTATCCTGGAACAAAAAGAAACGGACTTGTAGAACAATTTAAAATGCAAGTTTATGTATGATTTCTATCGAGCCAAGTACATAAGCAGTTGAATGAAAAATATATCATGGTATGATCAGTTTATTGAGCTAGGCTACCACTGAAAAGATAAAGTACTTTTAATCATGCTCTAATAGTATACATGCAGGAAACAAATAACTGCGGATAGAAGCTGAGACATTTGATTAGTTTTAATTGTGAATGGGTGATTTACGGTGTGGTGGATCGTAATCCATTTCTATAATGTCTCGATATAAATTCTTATTTCCAGTCTGGGAAGCCACTGCCATATCATGGGCTGCTGACAATCTTGCACCCTACAAAAAGCATTACAGTTTAACAAGAAGTCATGTCAACTTAATAGTTTTCAAAGTTTTGTATCATCTAAAACCAAAATGATATACATTTGAAGTGATTTCCCTTTTTTATATTTTTTCAGGTGGGATGCATCCATTACTGCAACAAGGAAAGTTTTAAAATATCGTTATTTTAAACGAGAACAAAATAAAAGCCGGAGCTGTTAGCATAATTGTGTTCAAATCAGAAAAGCAGAACAGAAACGAAAAAACTATTTCGAGCCCAGAAGGATCTTGTGTGTTTTTAATAATTTAATCTCTCGTTGTTGCTCAAGGGGATAGAACGAAAACTATTCTGTAATAGTAGCACTTCAAATTATAAAACTTCAATAAACTCAAATGACAAAATAAATCACACAATGCAGACTCTATTTGATTTTAGAAATATGCAAAAACTTTTGCAATCTTTGTAATATAAAATCTGAAACAATGCCTATGTATTTTTAGGTAATGAAAGAGTAATATGGAAAGGTGTAATCCAAAAAGTATTTTTTTTATTTTCCGTTCACTCCCTTTTAAAAAAACCCAACAGGAGCTACCGAGTAAAAATAGGAAGTAAACTTTTGGAAGCATTGGAAAACGAAAGAGAGGATCAAAAGTTTAGTACTCAATAAAGCCACTAAAGGGAACTACATGATCCCCTTATTTAAGATCGATAAACAAGGGATTTAAGTTGTATACGTATAAATCTTCTTAGGTTATCAGTGTACATTAACCTTTTATAGTACATAAGTTCCTATATTTTTCAGATTTTTTTGTTGGTAAATAAAAATCTTAAAATTGTAAGTAGATTTTTCATATTATCAATCAAGACTAATTATAATAACTTATGTATAAATGTCTTTTAAGTGAATGATTTTGCAAATATTTTTTATACTATCCGTTCCTAAAATTCCAAATCTATAAACAATATGCGGAGCTTGCAACATCCCTGTATCAGAGAAACGAAGTAGGTGATTCTTTAGCTAAGTACGGTCAAGGATTCCATGCACGAGGACACAGGAATCCTTTTTTGTTTAAAGAATTACAATATAGTATTGCTTCATCTATTCTAATTTATGTAGCAGTATTTTTTTTAATTCGTTCTATAAAGAATGATAATTTTCTAATTTTGAAACATTTTTAGTAATAAGATTTTATAGTCACATAAATATTTTGACATGTTAAAAAGTTAAAACTACAAATTTTAAAAGTATTTATAACTACAAAAAAATATTACAACATGTTTATGACCAAAATTTCAAAAAAACAAATTTTATACTCCTTGCTCGACCAAATTATGTCACATAAATTGAAAGGAGGAGAGCGATTGCTAAGAGAAAACTCCTTCCATGTATTAAAACAAGGACATAGAATCTTCTCTTCTAGAGAAAGAGTGAAATGAATTACTTCAGTGCCAGCTAACTTCTACGTGCCCAATGTGGTATTTTGAAAGGGGGGAAAGACGATGACTGACTTTCTTCTACGTGCCCAATGTGGTATTTTGGAAGGGGGGAAGGACGATGACTGACTTTGTCGTTCTCAGTTGAAACATGAGGAAAGGGACGTTCAGAAGTTAGGAGTCAAGAATAGTATGTCAACCTCAATATGGAGTTTTTTATTTTATTTTTAAATTTTCTTCCCCTTTGATCCCATTTAATCCCTTTTTGTTGGAGCATTCCATTTGATCCCTTTTGTTTGAGCTATTGCTCCTTTGATGATTCGAACCCACAACTCTCGAGTTATAGGCGGAAGATGTTTTTCATCGGAGCAACCTCACTTGTAAATATGGAGTAATATACTTATAAAAGAACTTTCTGCAACTATTACCTTAGTTTTTAGTGCCTTGAGCAAACGTGCGTGGGACAAAGATGATGGAGAAATCATTTCAGTACCTGCATGTCTAATCCCATCAATTACTTGCAAATCACACTAAGGGAACAGTAGAAAGGAAAGCAAGCCGAAAATGATTCTACATTTGTACCACTTGCAGTCGTGGACAAGGTTTAATCAAGAAACAAAAAAAAAAAAATAGAAAATGAATTAATTTCTTATTTGGTTGAGGATGTTAATATGTTATCGCCTCAGTAACCAAATTACACGTTCCAAAACTTCATAAAACTTACATCTACCACTACATCTCCAGGATAAAGAAACCATTAAAATTTAGAAATATAATTGAAGCGTTGATTCAAGAACGAGTAAGCTTTAGCATATTTGTGCAATGAACAACATCTACCTATAATTTTCTTAAACATAAAATTCGCGATGTTTTAACTGCCAAAACAAAAAGATACTCCATTAAACACGATGGAAATGAAGGGAGTAATGTGAAAGAACACCTGAAATTGTGCTTTTATTGTCATTCTTTTCCTTGTGAAAAGCTTCTATTTTTTTGACCTTGTGAAGGTTCGCAATTCCTCTAGGACCGTTTTCTACACGGGACGAATCAGTGCCAAAATAAATCTCTTGTGCAGCCTGCATGCGTATAAATTTCCAAGTTAATAATAAAAATACAATCTGATGTCCAAAGTATTCTGAATTCATGCAATATCTGAGGAAGGGCCAGAACCCAAGACGTGTAATATAGACAACCTACTCTAATGCAAACATTAGTTACTGTTTCCATAGCTCGAATTCATGACATATATGTCACACATAGACAACTTTACGTTGCTCCAAAGTTCTCATTCTTTCCCAATTAATAATGTTCCATCAAAAGAAAATTCCAACATATATAGTTTCAAATCACGAGCTGAATTATACCTTGTTATTAGCGGGAAGACGTGAATAATGTGGCATGAGCAGTGACTTGCGAGCAATACAAGAATGGTTTGGAAAGTAAAAGATGATGACTAAGAATAAGATGAAGGAACGATAAGATGAACATAAAAATAAAAGTGGCATCATAATTTGATATTATTTTCTTCAAATGGTGTCGATAATGAGGAGATATGTATAAAGTTTTAGCAAAATTTATAACGGAGGAGAATGCACAAGAGTTGGATACTATGAGGCAGAGGCGGATTCAGGAAATAAATTATGTGGATTCAATATTAAAGTTTATTAGCACTCAACTTATTATATATTTTAAGTTATGGATTTATATCTACTACTCCTTCATTTCAATTTATGTGAACTCATTTGATTGAGCACGGAGTTTAAGAAAAGAGAAAGACTTTTGAACTTGTAGTGTAAAATGATGCACATATATTTTGTGTGGATATAAATCATTACATAAAGGTAAATTGTTTCCAAATAAGGAAAGTGATCATTTTTCTTGGCACGAACTAAAAAGAAAATAAGTTCACATAAATTGAAACGAATAAAATATTTTTTATAATTTTAATAAATTTTTACATATAAATTTATGCTCTAGCTCAAAAATTATGAGTTAAATTAAACTAGAACAAGCGAAACTGGTTAAACTGTTCAAAAGAACGTGGAAATTTCAATGTTTGATGAGACGTATGAGCAAGATATAAAAAAGTTAAGTTGGCCTACCTTTATGTCTCCCCCACTACCTTCGTTAGCTCTCCCATTTTACGTCCAATTTATTCTTCCACCATTTATAAGAGCTAGCATGAAATCTGTCCTGGGCAAAGAAATTGTCGCTATCATCGGATCTAACATTAAACTGTCACGTCAACAGTAGAAACAAACAGTCAAACCAGTTGATCTATATTTTAATAATAATAACCAAATAGACATTTTTCTATATTTTTTTAACATTTTTTTATAATGCTTTCGGGGAAACGTGGTCCAAAATCACGAGATATCATGTCTAATAGAGGCCTACATAAACCGGATTCGATTTTATTAAATTCAAATCAAACCATTTATATCGGTTTGGATTTGTTTGATTTTGTGGGATTTTTTGAGTTTTTAGAATTTTTTTGTTACATGAATAATATGTCAATTTTACTTTATTAAATTTTTTATAAGTAAATATATGTTTAATAAAAATTAAAAAAATTGACAAACATATGATCTATTAAAATATTCTTATAAGAGAATTTACTTAGTAACATAATATAGTTATTTTTTTAGTTGTCTGACGATAAATTACCATTGACGTACACTTTCAAAGTTAACCGAATTTAATAATTAAACACAAAAATTAATATGATACCTAAATAATGATATGTTCTATTTAATTTTTAATTATCGAAACACCACTTCAAATTCGAAAAAGATATAAGAATATAATAAATATAAAAAAATAAAGAGATTGACGCATTTCAATAACATCTGATAAGAAAGTGATCATACAACACATTGTTTAAAGTTAATAAAAATAGTGCATTTCATATTCTATTAAATATTACATACCATAAGAGAATCCACTACTAAAAAGTCAGGTTTTAGCGACGGACAAATTCTGTAGCTAAACAGAAAAATCCGTCGCTAATCTCATTTAGCGATAGATTAGCAACGGATTATCAAGAAATTCTTCTAGCTACGAGTGTTTTAGTGACAAATTAGCGATGGCGTTCGTAGCTAATTCTATTTTTTTTAGTAGTGATCCCAAATATTTCTAGACATTTTTAAAGAAAATTCTATATAAAGTGTTAAAAGTATATATAAAAATTATATAATTGTATGTCTGTTTGGTTCAGATTTTTTTATCAATACAAAACCACATCGGATTTTTTAATCGATTTGGTTTGACTTTTCGGTTTGGTGTGGTTTTTCGGTTCGGTTTGTACAGCCTAATGACTAGTACATAGGGATGGCAGTAGGCGGGGCGGGGTGCAGGGCGGGTTGAGACTTAACCCGCATGAATTTAAACCCGTCCAATCTGCTCCGCCCCATAAAAAATAAATCATTTTGTTACTTTTGCTAAAACACACAAGTTTAATATAGTATTTGAAATTTGAGGATATAGTATTAGCTACTTGCATCTTCAATTTAATTTTTCAAATGACGTCAATTTTTTAAAAAGAATTTGTTCACTTCTTTTCTCTTTTCAAACCAAAATAAAACTCCAAAATAATAGTGGTCTTCTTAAAACAAGTTAAGTAAATGTACTTATACAAAATTGTTAAAGCTTAAAATGAAGTATAACAAGATGCGATACTGAAAGTTAGAGTGCAGTAGCTTTATAAATTCAAATCCATCAATGTTAGAGTGCAGTAAAAAAATACATTCAAGAGCCATCAATGTTAGCCATATTCTTGGTCTTAGATGTGCTATCTATTTTGTTTCTTCTTTACTTGATTTTGGTTCTAATTAGGTAGTAATTTTGATCTCGAAGTAGCATAAATCAATTTTAAGCGCATTACACATAAGAAATGCTAGGTTAAAAAAATTCAAGACCCATGAATGTTTAAGTTAGTAATATAAACTTTGAAGGCATTTTGGAATCAAAACTTTTTAAACTCCTGAATCTCGCAACCAGCCCCACACCTACATTAGATTAAAAAAAAACTATTTCAACCTGCCCCGCACCCACCCCACAATCGCACAAGGCCAAACCTTCCCCGCCTTGCACAAGTCAATATTGTCCCGCCCCAAAAGCTTGGCTTAGTGGTCAAAAGGGTTCAGATTTTGTAGAAGGTCATTAAAAAAATGACTGATTGGGATTTGGGTTTAAAATATCCCTAACTCTCTCTCTCTCTTCGTTGCCTCACTCTATCTGCCACTCCCGCTCTCTCTCTCTCTCTCTCTCTCTCTCTCTCTCTCTCTCTTTGTTACCTCACGCCACTAATCTCATATGTGCGCCTCGTCGCTATTCTTCTCTTTGTTGCCTCGTCGGTCGACGGCGTTTCTTCCGTCATGGCTTCCCAGGTAAGTTCCTTTCTCTTTCTAACTTTTTTCAGAATTTTATTAGTGTTTTATTAATGAATGTTGATTCTTAATTTAGGTTAATGACTCTAGTTTATAATTTCTTGATTCTTGATTCTGTAGACTTCAGTATTGCAAGTTATTGACTTTTCTAGTGCATTTGCTTTGATAAACTTATGGAAAATAATTGCTAAGTTTTTTAAGAATATATTGAGATACTTGTGACTCAATCATGGAGGCTAAAAGCTTCTTTATAGATATTTGTTGTTCTTATTGCATCCGTGATGTTATTGAGAATGACTCTTAAGGTTTTGGCACCAACAAATTCCCTATTATTGCACCAAATGGTGTTGTTTACTGAAGTTGTGTATCTCATTATTGGGATTACTGATTGATGAACTTGAAGATGATGCCTCTGTTTTCGTGAGTTCTTAAAGTCTTTGGTGAATTACATGAACATTAGGTTGAGCACTTAAGTTGAGAAGCCAGCAGTACTATTAGGGAACGATGAAACAAAGTTGTTTGAAGAAAACCGTTTGAACTTTTGTGATTTGTTTAATAAATTGAAATTAGCTCTGAGGTATGGTAAATTAATGTAAGCATCAGGACAATATAATCTACTAGCTGCTTCATCATAAGCCATAGGCTCAATACCTTTATAATTGTATTGAAAAAGTAGGAGTTACTTTTAGTGAGCAGACTAAAGAAAATTGGTCTAAATTAAAGAAAATTGAGATGACATTAGACGAAAGAAAATTAAGTCTTGGAACAATGTTTACTTCTAGTTGAATCTTCTTTTGAATTTATATTTTTATTAGTTTATGTTGAAGCTAACCCTTCTTTAAGCTTAGTTCGATACAACATTCATATAATATTTTTTCTAACTACATTCCCCAGTCTCAAAATTCAGTGAAGAGGCATTTTACCAAAGCACTAAAACCAAATTTGGCTTCTCATACTCAACCTATCCAGGAAGAGATCAACCATTTAGAAGTACGATCTCCTGATGATTTTGATTTGACTTCTTTAAAGTTTGACCCGGGGAAAGAATTCAAATCTTGGACTTCCATCCAAATCATCATGATATTATTAGAAGAGAATCGACAAGGACCTTGCCAACCTCAGCTTCATAACTTTCCTAAAATAATTTTTTCCGGAACAATGCATCGATTTAATCCCAAATAGTTTGATGATGAATATCATGATTGGTTGGAGAACAGTGTACGTAAATATGTAGCATATTATTTGTATTATTATCTATTTAAAGATAATAATATTCATCAAGGTGGAGGTGACGCATTTTAAACTATATGGTTTAAGAGTTGGCATAAAAAGAAAAACTTTGATAAACATATTGGTAGGTCGGGTAGCATTCAAAATAAGTCAAAAAAGAAATGTCAAGATTTGCGGCAACAACGGTCTATTCAATATTCATTTGGTAGGCAATCTAATCACCTTAAGCATAAGTATTGGGTCCTTTTAACTGCTTTAGTTAATGTAGTAAGATTTCTTATAACTCAAGGATTAGCATTTGAAAGTCATGATGTCACGACCCCAATTTTCATCCGTAGGATGTCGTGATGGCACCTAGTCTCTAAGACTAGGTAAACCTAACATTCATACCGAAATAACTGAAATGATAAATATAAGTCTTAAAACTCAGCAACTATAATAAATAAACTCTGTGACTCAGTATATACAACTCCCGAGACCCGGCGAATACAAGTAACAAGATCTAAATAGAAGTACTGCATGATCCTATATATCAATATCTATAAAGGATAAGGAAAATATAATAGTCTAGGTAGAGGGGGACTCTGAGGCCTGCAGATACTGGCAGGTATACCTTGAAGTCTCCGCAACTGAATTCTCGCTAATGTCTAGGCTGGTAGGAGGTACCTGGATCTACACAAAAAGATGTACAGAAGTATAGCATGAGTACACCATAACAGTACTTAGCAAGTGCCAAGCCTAACCTTGGTAGAGTAGTGATGAGGTCAGGTCAAGGCGCTACTAGAATAAATAAGAAAACTCAACAAGTGTAAGACAGTGTAATAATGACAGTAATGAAATTAAAACAACAAATAGCATATTAAGGTTAGCTACACGGAACTAAAGCAATTACGCGGGAGCCTTTACAAGAATAAGTCACAATCTTTTCTTATATCACCGCGGGAGCCT